CATCATGCTCCCCAGCCCTCTTCCATGCGTGGTACATCATTCCTGAGCTGAGCTGAGCTTTTACCGAAAAAAAAAAAAGGAGAGAGAGAGAAAAGAAAAAAAAAAAAAAAGAAAGAAAGAAAGAAAAGAAAAGTTCCACTATAGCATTTGAATTGGAAGACTTCAGAAGGCATAGCATGAATGCACAGACACCCCAAACAGTAGGAGTTCAAGTCAAGAAAGAAGAAAAAGTCTTCAGCTAAAGACACAAAAGTAAAATTATTTTACACACATCCAGATACGATGGACAACTGGTAGACTGCTTGCTTATTTGGGGGGCTGGTTCTTTTACTGGAAATATTGATTTGTCATTTACACAGAGGTGGGAAACAAAGATAATTTTTTTGTTTCACTATAAATAAATTGTTTTGAAAAAAATTTAATCAAATGCTGTAGCAGAAGAGAAGCCCATCAAACTCTGAAATGCTATGCTTCTCATTAGCAACAGTCCCTGGTTTTCATTTCCATACTGCCATTTTGGGTTCATATACAATAATAGAATCTGACACATTTATAGGGAAAGAGAGTTCTTCTATATATACCGTCTTTAAGGACAAGGGGAGGGAGGATGAGGCGGAATAACTTTGAAACGATTCTGTGAGAGGTAAGCCCATCATAATGGGTGATTTTAAACCTCGTACTTGATAAGGGCTTCAGGAGGAAACGCAACTTCAACCCAGGGCCTCTCAGGAACTGTTTGCAACGGTTATTGCTGGCTGTTCTGGAGACCATGCATTGTTCTAAAATTTCATATTGTTAGCATGCAGGAACAAGCTGAAACTGGTAATCGAAGCAGCAAAAAACCATTTGCTATAAGAAGATTAAATGTTAATTATAAGCAGTCACATTCCAAAGCAGCATATGCATAAAAAAGCAAACATGCTATTACTCGTCATTCCTCCCCAGTGATCATTTTTACACTCACACCAAATACAAAATAGAAATCTCAAAAGACAAACAAGCACCACCACACACAAAAAAATAAAACCAGCAAGAATGACCAATGAGAGGCTCAAAGACAAGACAGAAACAGTTAAAAAATGATTGAGCCCCACATGTTGACAAACCTTTGTGAATTACAATGGCTAGACCAAGGTGCCACCGACTGGGAGGGTGGCTCTCTCGCTCTACTTCTGGAATAGTCCATTTTCATCGACAGCCCCCACCCCCAAGATGTCTTCACCTATACACTTCTGGGCCCACCCTCTTAACAGGTAAGGCCGATCTGACCTCCCTTCTGGTGGAGTGATTCATCAGGCTTGACGGATATACCTCCCAGCCAGGAAGAGCCCTCCTCCAGGCCATTAAATGAGTCACCAACAAGCACTTGAACTACACACGTTTGAGGATTTGCCTGCATGGTAGTAGCTGTTCCATAGGATGTGAACACTGTGTGTAAAATTACACTTTCAAGTTGTAAAATAAAATTTTATCAAAATTAAGTCGTGGCTCTCCTGACTTAGAAGATACCACCCCTTGTCCCCTTCAACTGTCTCTGGCTTCCTAATCCTCCTGTTTTGTTTTAGCGAATCACAGATATTCACAATCACTGGTGTTTTATTTCCATTTCTCCGTGACTGTTTCCTTTGCAAGAGCTGATGTAGGTTAGAAGGTTAATTTCAGATATCAGAGTGCCACTTAAAACTCCCGAGGTTAGGTTTCAAAGAGCAACTTTAAAAGTTTCAGTATTTATTTAAACCAGAGCTAAATTTCTTAATCTACTTCCTGGACACATAAAGTGCCCTCTCACCTTTGGTGTTTGCTGATTTTCTTTTCCACACAGCCACCTAACACTCTCTTCCCAAATCCCAAGCCTCGGAAAAGGGAAGTTTCCCCAGGATTCCAATGCACATGTAGATGCAAAGTAGATCTAGAAGGACCTCTAGTGGATCTGCATGGAAGAGCAGCTAGCCAACGGACTGAACTAGCTGGCCTTTCTCTGCAAGGGAGCAGGAAGGGGACCCTGTGTGCCTCCAAGAATTGACATCTTTGCAGTGTCATTTCAGTCCAGCGGTTCTGGACATACACAGCAGACGTTAGGGGGCAGTGGGGACAAAGCAGTGAATTCTAGGAGTTGGTTCAAGAGTGGCGACTTGCAAACACATTGGCTCTACCACGGCTGGTAGACAGGGCCCACTTCAGCGGCAGCTGGCTGGGTCTCCTCGAAGCCCTGCTGCAGCTTCCTGAGACGGGAAACAGACAAGAGCATGTCTCTGGTAGGCATGACTACTGTAGCTACTTGTCATTCCGTATTAGGGCTTTTGGAACTTTATGCCTAATTAATTGGTCCTATAGGCCAACTTACTGAGGGAAAGCAGAAATATAAGCCTCTGGGGACTCCGTTTTCTCTTTGGCCCACACCACCACGTTCTTGTTCTTGGACCGGCGCCACCGATTCCAAGAGGTTATGTGGTTGCCAAGAATGAGACCCTGGATCTCACCTTCCTCTGAAGAACTTTGTCTCGGCCCTCTTACAATTTGAGAAAAAGCTTTCATGTGCTTTCCTTCACCAAAATGGAGTGGCTATTCCTCCAATATTTCCATTATGACTTCCTAGTGCTATTTGTAGAGATAAAAATGAGAGTGTTGCCCTAATGGACATCATCAAGGCTATCCGTTTACTCCTAAGTGTTTAAAAATGGGGGATTTCTCAGACCTACTCTCGGACCACTTTTCCTGTGTTTTCGAGGGTCATGATCATGAGAAAAGAAACCTGTAGAGAAGTGGCTGGTGGAGATGTGGCTCAGTTACTGCTCCTTCCTTGCGTCAAATGGACAATGAGCTGTCACGCTCAGGATCACTGCCGGTTAGCCCTTCTGAGCCAAGCCTGGAACGAAGAGGGAGTTGGACTCCATCCTGTGCTCAGCACCATCTGCCTCCCGCATCAGCAACCAAATTGCCAACCAATTTCCAACGGCAGAATCTTAATTTCCAGGGTGGGCTGGAAGGGGCAGGGAAAGTAGCGCTGGACTGAGAGGTTCAGGTGGAGTTTTCCAACCGCTGGAGAAAGTTTTCTAGATTTGAATAGAGCAAATTCAAAGGAAGACTAGTGTGGAGGAAGAAAATACCCACTGCTTTCAGCTCACAGGTACTTCTTAGATCACAATGACATGTTTAAAATCAATCCCAGTGGAGGAAGGATGAATTCCAAGCCTGAACCCTGAAGCTGCTCTTCACAGGCTCAGAAGCAACTAAAACTAGAACTAGAAGCATCCACGGAATGAAAATGTCCACCGAGGCAGAGGGGAGATGCTTTCGTCTGACGTGAGGCTGGGAATCGGCGAGCGTTCTTTCCAGTCCTGTAAATGAGGAATGATGTCTTCACTTAGTAAAATTCCTCCTATTAGTTTGTGCAGGGAGAAGAAAGATCTTCTGGGTGGTTTTCCAAGAACAGAAAGAGGGAGAAGAGAAAGCTAGTTAATGTCAGTGGCACGAAGTACACAGAACTCATCGATCCCGCCCTCAACAGCACACCGTGGCTGTGCAAGGCAGAGGCATTTGGCACCAGAGTTGTTTGGTGATTGACATCCCCTTTTCTGTCTGATTCCGAAGGATCATGAGGTAAAGTAGGCGCCTTTGCAGGTATGAGAGTGGCACATGCCCTCGAGCCATCCTTCCAGGTGTTCAGCAGATAAAGGGAGCCACAGAGTCCATTTTGGCGGCCTTGTGTGACAGACTGAAGACGTCATTGATTTCTTTTGTCTGTACATTAAGCATTCTAGAGCCTCAAACTCAGAAGACTAGCCAGAACCAGATGACCCCCTCGCACAGCGCCAAGGCAATCAGAGTTCTGAGTGCTGAGATATCTCCGGATGCCAGGACCGCTGGACTGAACCAATCGGTCGGCTGGGTGTCGTGTTCAGTGAAGTCTCACGGACGTGAGTACAGACCCGACGACACTCACCGCTGGTGCCACCGAGGGCAGCGCTGCTCGGAGTCACCCACAGAAACACTGGCCCTGAAATGGCCACATCTTGTCGGGTGAGAGGGGCCCTACTCTGTGAGTAAGTTAGGGGCTCAGAGACTTACATTCACTCGTTCCGACTTCTACCTAGCTCACTAATGAAATGGAACACTGTCCTTAAGCCAACGTTTCCACCTGAAACCAGTAAACGGATCTTCCAAAAAGCCTGACTAACACCCACAGCAGAACTGGGTATGTCCTAGTGGGTACTGATTGGAAGGGGAACTTTGTTTTAAAAGCAAGGGAACTTCATAGACTGTAGGAAATAATTACCACTGTGGAAATACTTGTGTCCAGTAAGGGGGCTTAAGATACTGACAATCCCAAAGTCTGGTATCCAATTAATTCTCTAGCAAGCACTTTCTCACATAGAGAGGTATGAATATTGTATTAAATACATCGCTCTCTCTATAAAATATTTCTATGCTTATATATAAAAATGTTCATTTTTACATATAAAGTACTGGTACGTATCATATATATATTGCAACCCAGGAATATATATGTAGCATATGTGTTTCCTTCAGGATACGAATTCAAGCTCAGTAGCAGAGACCAGGTCTGATTTATCAAAGGCAAGCATGACAATGACCCCCAGTTGACGAGGCATCTACAGCTAGAGTGGTAATTACCTCAGCCTACTCAGCGTCCCCTAAAGGTCCCGAGACAAGGCCTTCAAGAGAAACACTGTGGTCAAGGTCTTATTTTCAAATGGAAAAATAAGACAGCGCCAGAAGCTGGCAAGAGGCTGTGGGATGGGAAGATGAACGGAGGTGTGGAGAGGGGGTCCCTGATCTGGGGAGGGGGTCTCTAGCTCCAGGGTCCTCTGCAGACCATGTTGGATGAGGGAACTGGGGCATGATGTCACTGCTACATGCAACATAAATACCAAAAGAAAAAAAGAAACTGAAACTGTACAGAAAATAAAAGAAGTATCTCTTCTAGAGAAAGACAGGGGGAACTGGACTCCGGGCTACTGGGAACCCGTTTTACTCACAATATATCACTACCAGTGTGCAGTTAAAATAGAGTAGGGGCCGTATTCCAAGGCAGCAAAGAGAAAAAAAAATAAATCAAAAATATGTCAATGATTAGAAGTTCAAGAAAATTCCTTCAAACACATCAATTCAGACATGACTTGTCCCCTGGGAGTCCACCCTTTGGCAAACTTTTACAGGCTGGGGGAAAAAATGTAAATCATTAGACCAGGTTTGTTATACAGAAGAAGAAAATGGGTAAATAGTAGATTCTGAGAACTTGCTCCTTGGCCAGACAGCTGAATTTGACTCTCTTCCTTGATGGAATGCTATGAAGAAATGGAAAGAAATGCAAAAGTTAAACTATACTACCACAGAATTTCCAGAAATGGAATGTCCACACTCGGTATTTCTCCAGATAGTATGGCATGAAATGTTCAAGGCAAATGGGGAGGTGAGGGTGGGGTTGGAAGGGGGAAGAGCTAGGTTGGAAGGGGAGGGTTAGGAAGCTGTGGATAAAGACCAATGACTGTCACCAGCTCTGACCTCATGGAGGTGGATCATTCTAGAGTGAATTATTAACACCTGGCCTAAGAGGTTTGGACCAATGACTGTGTGGGTCAGCTGCCCTCTCCAACCTAGGGCACTGGGCAGTGTGTAATCAAAGGCACAGGAACTTCCCCCCCCCTCCCCCGCCAATGCATCATTCACAGTTCTAGCTCCTTCTAATGAAAGTTTCTTTGCAACAAAAAGCTATCTTCCCCAATTTCCTGACTTGCCTGGTATGCATGGGGAGGTTCATGTTTAATCATTCACTTTATTCTGACTGCCCCTTACACGTACACATCTGCATCCTGCCCTCTGGAACACAGGCTGTTATGGCCTTTTAATTAGAAAGAACAATATTTGGACAATTTTGATTGTTATCAAACATTAACCTCACAGCCAGAGGCCTCTATGAGATGAAGAGTCCAAGAGGGAAGGGGGTACAGGGAGCCAGGGGCAAGACCCCCATCATGCCGGCTCCGCTTTGGGAGGCAGTCCTTCCATGCCAACCCATGCCATGCATGGGGAGAGAGCACACACGTCACCAGCTGAACCAGCTCTAAGGAGAATGAAGAGAATATGATTATTTCAAACAATTGTGTGCCTCTCCCTCCAGGATGAATTTAAAGTCAACTGCTGTTTGCTTGCCTGGAACCAGGGTGCCAAAATATTCTAGAGTCCAAATCCTCATTTCTAGGGACCTAAAAGCTTTCTGCTGAGTTCCATTGCAATGCCTGGTGGGGAACATCCAGTATCAGAGACATTTTCTCCCCATCATTCCACCTTCTACCCTTGCCTTTCTAGAGTCTGTTCTCTGCCACGTCACCATGGAGGTCATCTGATACAGGAATTGATGATGTTGTGTCCTTGCTCAAATCTCCCAGTGGCTATATCAATTATAGGACTAAAACCCAAGGTTTCTCATCATAGCCTCTGACTTCCTGTATGACCTCATCTCATTCCACTCCTTCCCCATTCCCACCAGCCCCCCGGCCTGCCTGCCTTCCTTCCTTCCTTCCTTCCTTCCAACACTTCAAACTTTTTCCTGCCTCTTGACCTTTGCCCTTGCTACCAACCTGGACAAAGTCTCAGCTTCAATGTCACCTTCTAAGGGAGGCCTTCTAGACCTTTATGGCTAAAGCAGCATCCTGACAATTTCCCCATACCCTGTCTCCTCTCTCTTCATGACATTTACTCTATGTGCATTTAATGGTTTGTATGATCATTGTTTGTCTCCATTCATTAAAGTGAAGACTTCAGAAGAACACTGATGTTATCTGGTTCACCCCTCCATCCCTGGCACCAAGAATCTACCTGGCACAAAGAAAGCACTCAGAAATATGTGGATGGCTAGTCAATAAGTGAATTTCAGTGGTACTCCATGGGACCAGGTTCTGTGGCACATGTCTGGTCATGGATAATTGGCCCCAACACTCTCCTGCATTTCCCAACCCCCTCCACTACGAGAGTTTCCTTACAAAGGAGTTGACCCTTCTGTATTTGTTACTCTCGTTGACTTTCACCTTGGGATACAGTGTTCCTCTGACGGAAATGATCTGGGGGATGCCTGGTTATCTGAGCTGTGTTTCTGTGTGCACGGCCAACCAAGCAGGGCTGGGATGGACGTCCTGGTGAGGAGGACCTTTGGCGTCAATGAGTTTAGGGGATCAGAAGTAGAGTGGATTTGTTCTGGGCCTTACACACCCTTAGATGCTCCCCTTAGGTTGTCAGAATCAGAGAATTCTTAGACCTCAAGAACTTAGTGTCTCTTTGGCTGAGACCTCAATAAATACTCATCTTAGTAAGGTGTCAGAGCTGGGGGGGAACGGGGCCGTGCGTGTAGAGTCAGTGGAGAAAGCAAAACAATGGACCTAAGCTGCCCCAAACTTGGGAACCAGCCTCGGAGGATTTCTACAGAAACTCTTCTGGACCAAGAGCGCTCCCATGGGTATTTGCCTAAGAGATCGAGTATCTTTGTGCTGCACCAGAGCGATATTTATATCTTAACTGGTTTTTCATTACTGTGACCCCTTTAGGAATGCAGTGAAAAAAGCCCTAACTTTGGTTGGCATATCCCAGGAATAGTGCTCTTCTATCCGGTTTCTGCTTGTGAAAAAGTATTTTATGGGACGATCTTTCATAACTATGATTCTACTCTTCAGACCCAACGTCATTGCCTTGCCCTTCTCTCTTGCAAAAATCATCAGAACACTGAGTGCACAGCATGGAAAGGCCTTTGGGTGAGGCTGAAGCCCTGTGTGTTGGGTCTGTGTGACTCTTAGCAATCTCATCCTCCCACTAAACTTGGAGACTTAGTTTCCTCTTTTTGTAAAATGGAATTAATGACATCCCCTGACAATTACCCAGAATTAGGGTGAGGATCAAAGACAATAATGATCATAAATAAGGCTCTGAAAACACTAAATCACCATAGGAAGGAAGGCATCATTATTATTGTTTTCTTTAGGGTCGTGAACAATTTCTATTAGGCAATACAACATAATGGCCTCAAGAGGCATGGCTTTCTCGAGGCATGCCCACTCTAAGTCCTGGTTTCTTGGGAGCTCATGATCCAACGTTCCTGACTTACCATATCTTTCTCAAGAGGTCCCATTGACAAGCTGCTTTGGAAGAGATTTGAGATGGGATATGCCAGAAGCTACTGAGCCCAATCTAGTCTACCCCAAGGAGCAATGGTGTTTGAGGTTGGTTACTGGAGCAATGGCAAATAAAGCTGATTGGTGATGCCCAAGTTCTCTTCCTGGGCCAGTCTGAAGAAACTACAAGGGAAAATTCTGGATCTTGGTATCAAACCTTACAGCAGTCCCAAATGGAAGAAGAGTCAGCTCCCATTAGGGAGACAGCATCCTCAGACTCAGTTTCCCTTTCAGCCCTACAGCAGCCATCTTCACACTTGGTGGTCCCACATCCACTGGAAATCACTATGTAAAAGTACTTCCTCCTCCATGGTCTTAGCTGCCCTCCTTTTCATACACCGCATTGACCACATTCAAGTGGACACAACCACCTGGGCCTCCCCTCAGGGTTCAGAGGTGGGGATTAGGCACCAGGTTCACTCAAAGGTGTTGATGGTGGTGATTTTCCATCCTCTGCTCTAATAAAGCAAGGACAAGCATTTTTTTCATGTCTCTTTAAACTGCTGGGTGAAACATAAACATATTCAAGAAACCTCTTGATGTTTAGTGTTTCTTTAATAGGAAAAGGAGAAGGGAAACAAATTTGGGGAAAGGGAAAGGAGGGGAGGGGGAAAGAAACACTACTTACGCCGTTTGCAGCCGCATTTTTTTATTCTTTTGGGATCTGTGATGTCATCGTGACAGGCCTTGCAGTAAAAAAATGCCCTGGAGAAAGAGAATGGAAAAACTGACACATTTCATAATCCGCCCGAATGAAACGAGCACCACATTTCCTCCACCGTGGTGCCAAATTAATGAAACACGCCGGCACTAATTTCCTTTCATCTTTTGAAAGGTTTAGACGTTTACAGACGGAAATGTTTGTTGCAAGACCTTTCATTTCAAACACAGGATTCTGCAATTTGAGTTAGTGCTTCTTTTAATAAACTTTCCTTTGAAAAGGAACTGGGGGAATGGCTGCTGATGGGACACCCTGGGTCTGCTTGTCTTTCATTGTTGAGCACAGCATCCAGTGCTGCTCATGAGAACATGCGGGCAATCAGCCCCAGGCCCTTGGTGGGGAAGTTGAATCCATCTCCGAAACCCTCGCTGTCTGGTCAGGTATTTATGGAAGGGGCCGTAAGGAGAAAGTTCTGCTATCAAATAAAAACTTAAGACTTATCACTCAGAAAACACATTTCTTTTCAAAATGAGAGAGGTTAAGGACACAGGTGGACAGGCAAAGACAAAAGCTGTGAGTCAAAGGTGTCCTCTGTCAAATTTCTTCTGGCAGTTCACAGCCCACGTTTGCTCCCATACTGGAAGAACCAACTCCCATACTCTCCGGCCCTGAGAACATGTTTTCTTCTCATGGTAGAGCACAGCTCAGCTGAGCATCGCAATGGGGTGGGCAGAGGGCACTCTAGGGTTGGGTACCCAATGAAAGCAACAAATAAGAAAATCCCCTTGACTCACTTAAGTATCAAGGTGTGATTACCAATCACATTGGCTGTGTCAAAGATACTTTGGATGAGACAAAACAAGATCATTCAAGCACAGAATGCAAAGGACCTAGAAGAACAGCATTGAAGGCCTAGATCCTTTCAGGACAGGGGATTACTGGGATAAAATTTCACTGGAACAACCTCACAAGCTCTGGATATGGGGACCAACAAAGTCCTTGGTTTCACCATTCCCAATGTAAAATTGAATGCCAGGGATAAACATGGTCTTCCCTTGACCAAGACTATAAAAAAAAGAAACACAATTCTTGACCATTCTATTCCTAGTTTCCTTTTTATGTTTTCACAGAACTTGCACATGATTGGCACCAGGTGCAAACCAATGTTAAGACTTTGGGATCTGGGGGGCTGCCTGGGTGGCTCAGTGAGTTAAGCCTCTGCCTTTAGCTCGGGTCATGATCTCGGGGTCCTGGGATCGAGTCCCGCATCAGGCTCTCTGCTAGGCAGGGAGCCTGCTTCCTCCTCTCTCTCTCTCTCTCTCTCTCTCTCTCTACTTGTGATCTCTGTCAAATAAATAAAATCTTAAAGGAAAAAAAAAAAGACTTTGGATCTGGAAGAGACCTTGGAGGTCCCCAGGACTCCGTGTCCCCATCTGTAAGTTGAAGAGGTTGTCACAACCTGCCCAAAGTCATCCTGTGCTGGGCTCAGCTGGCCGCAGGACTTCTAAATCCAAGCCCGAAGCTCTTCATGCATTAGCAGCTCATTCACTGTTTCTTTAAATGCCAGTGTTCATCCATGTTGAGAAAGAAGAAAGAAAGTAAGAAAGAAGGAAAGAAAGAAAGAGAGAGAGAGAGAGAAGGAGGGAGTTATGAAGGGAGGGAGGAGGGAAGAAAGGAAGGAAAAAGGTAGCGGATTGTTTGCCCTGAGTGGCCATGTGGCTAAGAAAGGGGAAGGACAGGAATGGAGGAAGCCATTTTGTTTCTGCCATTTTCTCCCCCATATAATGTTCCTCCATATAATAATGTTCCTCCATATAATAATAATGACAAGAGTAACAGGGAACATTTATAGAACACAGACTGTAGGGCAGGTGCTATTCTAAGCACTTTATAAGGATTAATGAATTTGATCTTCAAACAACACTTTGAAGGAGTCATGATTATTATCTCTGTCTTACAGACAAGGAAACTGAAGCAGAGAGAGGTTACATGACTTGCCCAAGGTCATGCACAGTCAGGATTCAAGTCCAGACAGCCTAGTCCCAGAGTTCAAGGTCTTAAAGACATTATCTAATAGAGGATGAAACAGTGATAAGTCTGATTAGACTGTTGAGAAGATCACGTAGATTTTTACTTCATGAATTAAAGCTAGATTCTGAAAATAAAGGTAAAGTTAAAGAGTGAGATGGGGCCAGGGAGTGGGGGTGGGGAGGGTCTCTGATCCACAGTCCTGGAGACACATCCCCTACCTGGAGGGAGCACGGTACCTAAGCTCCAGTTGAGTTTTGCCAGGTCGCACTTCTTTGCAAGCGCCATGCTCTTCCCCACCCACTTCTGTCTCTCTCATACTCAGCTGGCAAAGCCCTCCCCTTACTGTACACCTCAACCTGAGCAGCCAAGTGGTCAGGAAAGGAAACACAACTGTGCTGACTGATCTTACTTAAAATCCATGGCCATGGAATCCAGAGGACTTTTCACACACCTCAGGCCTCCTGCATATCCCCTCCTTCCACCTCGACCCTCTCTGCTCTCCTCCCCACTTCCTCTCCTGCTTACTCCACCCCTTCCCCAAGTGGCCCTCAGCTGATGACCTTGACACACACATCATCGAGAAGACCAAATTTCCATACCCCGGAAAGCCAGTGTTTACGGTCTCCTTGTCCTCTGGTGTCCTGTTCTGTTCAGCCAATGGGAAGAGCCAGCAGGAGACTGGAGGATGGGAAGGGAGAGTTCCCCCCTACTGAATCATGAGTTGGTGGTAGCCCCATCTCCACACTAGAGAGGGCTCAGCTCCTGCCAAGCAGCTTTTCCTACACTACAACTTCTCTCTCCAGGCTCTGATAGCTCTTTCCCCTTGACTCATAGATTCGGGGCTGAGAATGGCTCCCCTCTGTTGCTAGCTCTGGGGTGCTTTACCATTCCTTGTTTGTTCTTCCTAACTCTCTGCCTACAACTTTATATGGTCCCTTCATAAAACTCCTCTCTTTTCTTATTTAGGTGTGTCATCTGCTTCATCTGTCATCTCCCTGCTACAGCACACAAACTGATACCTCCAGCCTTCATCTTTCCCCCCAAACTCTAGAACCTTAGATCTAACTGCCTTGATGACATCTCTATGTTTATGTTTGGTTACATATCGCCTACTTAACATAGCCAAATAAAATTCTTAATTTCTTATGCCCCAAACTTGCTCCTTTTCTAGCTTTCCCCTTCTTGGTAAGGTGAGGAGCCAACATCTACCCAACTGCAGAAGCTCCACATCTAGGCTCCATTCTTGATTCCTCTTTTTCCACCTTCTTTCTTATATGCAGTCCACCAGGGGCCCTACAGACTCTCTAGTAAAATATATTATGACTCAGTCTCCCTTCTCTTCACCTCCACTCTCTCATCTAGCCCATGTTATTCCCCCTCAGTTACACAATGTAGTCTCTTTGTCTCTGGGCCCCCTCCCTTATTGCACTACATCCCATTCTTTAGAATAAACAGGAAAGACCTTTCAAAATGTAAATCAGGCTACTTCACGCCCAGCTTAAAACCATCAATGACTCCATTTTATAACAACCCAACCCCTGCATCAAGTCCTATGGGAGTGAGCCCTGCCTTTCTCTCTCACCTCCTCTCCTCACACTACTCCCTCAGACACACTTTCCATCCCTTGCCTTCCTGCACACAACACTGTCTCCACCTTGTCCCCTCTTCCCTTCTGATCTTTGTGTGATGGACTCTTTCCCATCACCCCCATTTCTGCTCAAATGTGGCCCCTTTTAGAGCAGCCTTCATTTAAACACAATCTAAATCAGTGACCCAGCTGCATTAATTCTTTGATTAATGTACCATAAATAAACAAAACTGCAATTCTCTCCTCCCTAGAACATGAGCCTCTGGAAGCAAGGGCTTTGTTTCACCACTGCTCCCCTGGCACCTGGTACAGAGTGTCCTAGAAAATGACTGACCTGCAGACATTTGATGGATGAACGAGTTTGAGAGTACTGCCCAGTAACGCTAGATCTGCAAGTTGTTCAGGAGAAACCAGGAACAGGGATTTTTAAATAAAAGATGAGGAGGTCTTCCTCTTGGCAACTCATTTATTTGTTAAAATCGTGAATCAAACGAATTCTGTCTGTAAGCCAAACTCGGTCAATGGGGCACCATTTTGTGATTCCTACATCATAGACTATGGGCCAAGTTCATTTAAAAAGGAAAATATTTAGGGCAAGGAATAGGGGGCAAGTGACTGAATGTTCACCCCAAAGTGAATTTTCTAAGACAGGAATGGATGGTTTCACTCCTCTTTTCCTATAACAGGGCATCTGAAAGTTTCTATGAGCTAAAAATCCATTAACTTCTTGGGTTGCTTTTTTGTAGGAGACGGTACAAACTCAATCCTGGATCATCATAATCAACTTTTCCATTTTTACAAAACTTGTTTAGTTTCATTCAAATCTCCAAGGTCCTTTCTGTGGTTTTCTGCAGTCTTCATCTATTTGAAATCCCCTAACTGACAGCATTTGCTCTGACACATCACACACTATGGAAAATTACAGGCTGGTGTTGTAGCTGATTGTGTCAGCATGTATTTGTGAATACCATAAAGCACTGAAATGAGACATATTGCACTCCCTAATACAGGAGGTAATTTGTTTTTTGGACTGCCTGGTATTTGTGACATTCATTAGTGAGAGATGCAATAGGAAATAGAATTACACAAATGGGAGTTTCATGTTATATTTGCTATCTGGGAGGTACACGTGGTCTACAGCACCGCTGGCTCCCCAGCACATCCTCCCCACCCCATACAGGCTATTGAGATGCTGCCTGTGCGTCTCACAGTCTAGATGTGAGCACAACCTTCTATTCCAGGGGACCTGGTCGGGGATGGGGGGGGGTCCTCAGTCCCATTCATCCCCACTTTCTGCTCAGGTGGACCCAGTTCTCTAGGTACTCCTGAAGAACAGCCAAGATCCATGAACTTGATAAGAAGGTTTTCCTGTTTCTATCTGAATAATGGCAATTCTTTCCCAATTTGTAGAAGTAAGTTTAAGCCATTAGCTCAGTTTAAAGAATTTTACTTTTTTGTTGTTTTATTTCTCTGTGTGTTTTTTGTTTTTTTTTTGTCTCTCCATTGCATTTTTTTCCCCTAAAAGCTTTTATGACTAGTATGGTTAGTTTGCAGAAGTGGGTGAAGAGGAAAAAAGTAATAATCATCAGCTGTCGAATATCCTGGTTCTGTGCTCAGCACGTCAGGCTCACCTCTTGGCACATCATTAAGAAGGTAAGCTCTGGCACTGGACTTCCTGGTTTTAGATCCTGGCTTTACTTCTCATGAGTAGTGGGGCTTGGGGCAAGTTAGCTCACCAATCTGCATCGCGGTCTCCTCATGAGGAAACGAAAATAGTAATGCTATCTATCTCACAAGGTTGTTGAGAGGATGACATGAGTTCATGGTAGCTGGTACTTAGAGCAGGGCGGGCACACATTAAACTCTGCATATGAATCTGCTAGTATTATTAAATTTGGTAGAAAGTGTGGGTTTGGGGAAAAGGAAAGACCATTTCCAATCTGGGCTCTGCCACTTGCTTATGTGCTATATAACCTTTGGACAAATCATTTATCTCAACCTTACAGATGAGGAAACCAAAGCCCCAAGGGTTGTAGAAGACTCATCTTATGAGGTTATTCTGAGGACTAGCAACAACAAATGTAGAACAGTTAGCACAGGCCTGGCTTTGAGTGGGAACTCATTACATGAAAACAATAGGCTTCCATAAATAATTAATCATTTATTTGAAATATTTTTCATAACATAATTGTTAAAGTGAGTGGCCGACTATCGGGGCCACATTTTCTGCTAATAGTTTTTCAGAGTTCATAGGATAGACTCAAATATAAAAATATTCCATGGTGTTCTCCAAAGAGCCCTGTGATTGTTAGGCTGCTTAAACAGTTTAAGGACACTAATAAATGTGTCATAAAACACTGAGGTCAAGGATATCCTGAGCTGTACCTACAGAGGCTTAAGAATGGAACCTGACAACTTCAACTCCTTGCCTAGAAGGTCACAAATAGAAATACAGCTAATTGAATATTTCATCTGAAATTAATCCAAACCTTTGGAGATTGCATTTGGCACTTAGATTAGAAAGCTGATAATACACGAGTAAATCTGCCTAGACAAGGGACTAGACAAGGGACCAGTTGTCCTGTGTTACATTGTTGTGGGTCATCAAGAATCAGGATGACTCTGAGCACTTGCTTCAGTTCTCTGGGACTCAATTTCCTCCCTTAAATTTTTTTTTTTATTACTCTAATTCAAAGATGTGGAATCAACTACGTGAAGAGGAGTTCATGGAAACATCTGAAAACATCATCTCTTTTTCCTAAACTGGGCACCACCGATGCCCATGGACACATTAAGAAGTTTTGGGTTTAGGGCCCTATACATATTGAAAGCATGCCCATCACGTTGGATCAAGAGATCTATGGCTGGGCCAGAAAATAAGGCAGATAAATATGAACTCTTACCGTTTAACTTCTTTGGCATCACTTGCGATGAAAAATCCTAAAGTGCCTTCTTGGATCTTAAGATGGTTTCCAGGGTTAATTAATATACTGCTCAGTGAACAAAAACAAACAAAGAAGACACATTTGTGAGGTCACGTTCTGAACAAAACCTTGAAGACTACATTGTACTATTAATTGTATAGGGGGCCCACTAGTCTAGTGCTTTTCCCAAAGATGTTGTCTAGAGCTTGATGTCCACAGTCCCGGACATTTAAGTGGATGATGCCATTAGAAAGCTCTACTGGTCAATTCCCAGGTTGGCATACTCCCAATTGCAGAAATCAAAGCACATCTAGGTTTCAGGGCTGGGGTGTATAATGGGGTTGCCATCGTGGGCTTCTGATCTGATCCGCAGCCCTTTAGAAACTTCTATTGATGGTCAACATTGCATGTTATTGGTCTAATAAAACTATTGCTGTAACAATTTTCCATTAGATGACAGAGCATTAATGGGACCCCTATATGCATCCAGCAACATACACATACACATGTATTACTGCAGGGAATGGTACACGACACCTGTAACCAATGCAGAAGCAAACATCACATCTGCACGATGTTGGTAAAGACATGTACGTGGGCTCTGAGGGCAAACAGTGACAAAAGAAAAATGCCAGCAGTTGGAAATGATTCCAGTCTGCTTTTACCAAAATGCATGGGAGTGTTTGAATAAAGTGTGTGTCTGGTATATCCTGATTGGGGCAAACTGTAATTAAAAAACAAATGCAAATCATCCCTAAAAAAAACTTCCCTTTGCAGGGAAGTGCAGACCTAAATATAGACAGTCCTATTTCAAAGTGTTATAAATAGATTAGCTGACCAAGTTGTGCTTGGACTGAAAAAAAAAAAAAGAGAGAGAGAGAGAGAGAGAGATATGTCTCCTCATTTAATAAATGGGTGAAACAAGTTTAATTTTCTGCAGATCAAGAACAGAAGGCAGGAATGTATTATAAAGAGACTGAGAGGCTTTGGGCTTAATGGACAGGGAATTTAGGTACTCTGAACGCAGCAATAGATACAACAGAGGAATCTCTGATCTGAAAAGCCGGCTTTGAGGTCATAGATGTTCAGAATCAGGCTAAAGGAAATCCGCAACTGTCTAAGACAATCAAAATGGAGGACAGTAATTAACATGTAATTTTTCACTGCTGGCAAAACCGTTCCAGGAAAGTGCTGCGGCCAACAGAGTGATGCATCTGTAGTAATACAGGAAGGACCCAGGTGAACTTTTGTTCTGCCGGGAGGACTCAAGAGTGGATCATTATGGCAAAATAATTGTTTGTGGTTGCAAGAACATCCACTATTACCCATAACGAGACCTGACAGAAGGAAACTGATCCTGTGTCATCACTGTTATTAACACTAAATAATAGCCAGGGACCACGATGATTGGTCTATTCTGCCGTGGAACCACAGGCTACAATGAAATTCTTCACAAATCAGGAAGCAGCAGGCCACACTAATAGCAACAGCTTGCAACGGGCAGCAGCACTGGACAGGCGCCTCCTAATTACCCCCCTGCCAATTCTTTACATCGGTTTAACAGCCCTCTGACTTCTCATGATCATGAGGGGAAAAGGGTCAGAGCTTATATAGCTTAGATGGACTCCTTTTTCAAAGCCAATTAAATGTGATGTCGTAGAGGAGCAGAATTCTGGATTTTGCACACTTTCTTACCCTCTTTGCTGTAAGGCAGTATGTGGACACCCTGGCTCTGTGATCAGAAATTACACCCAAATTCCAGCATCCCCACTTAGTAGCTGTCTGGCTTTGGGAAAATAACTAAATCTCCCTCAAACTCAATATCCTCACCTACAACGAGGATGAAAATCATAGCCTTTCTTCAGAGGATTGAACAAGATACTGCACAGAAGGCTCAATGCATATTGGCTATTGTTATTATTTATTATTACTGCAAAGAAAAAAGCAAAACATATTTTGTTTTCAATGGAATTATCATGTTTTCTTTAGCGGGCCCCATAGAATGGAACACAGGGCTCCTTATCAAAATATCCTGTCTGTAATGAGATGAATTTACAGGATGAAGAACTGTACATTCCAGAATAGTGTACAAGAGCATACATGAAAAATTCTGGGTACATATGGAGTCTAAAGAAGCTAATTCCTTAAAGCTGGAAAAAGCTCCATTTTGGTATGTATTTATACCAGAGCATAAAACAAGTTCTGAGTAGAAAAGAAAATCCTATCTTGCTTTCAACGATGCAATTCAAAAGGGGAAATTTGACACTCATCAATGTCTTGGTGACATTTATGTGCAAAACAAGCCTTGCACGGGAACCTTTTCCATATTACGTGCTTCATTAATTGCACTCCAGTGATCAAGCCCACCGTATCATGGGAGGAAGCCAGTGAGAGCAAGCTTCCTATCAATGAGAAGTTTCTTTTCATTTCCTCTGTTCTTTATCAACAGTGAACAAGAATTGGCTTCCAGTGAGAATGTGGGATTGTCATTCCAGGGACAGCAGGTTGAGATCATTTATTACAGCCTGAAAGCCTGCTGTAGTCAAGAGAGTGTGGTCGTGGGGAGAGATCTGGGGCACTGATGGGAGGCAGGTTTGTGTTCAAACGTGTTGCTCTGCCAGGGCTGGTTAAGCGAGCAGGTACCTGTGTCAGGCCTAGGAGTTCAGACTCTGGCCCGGGGCACGTGGGTGCCACTCAGCCTCACTCTTCTCCTTGTGAAATGGAGTGAATAATCTCAATTACAGTGTCACTAAGAGAATTAAAGTACATTCTGTGTGCTCAGTGCCTGCCACGTAGTAGATCCTTAATGCATGATCACTATTAAAAGTAAGCATGGTTATTAAAACAACTAAATGAGAAGCAAACAATCTCCTGCACGGTCTCAGCTCTCCATTTTGCCCTTGGTGCCAATAAATTACCGGGAGGCCCCCTAGTGGCATTTGAAAGGTCTTTTTACTGACTGCGGTATCTAAAACATTATATCCCTCGAAGACATCTGGAGATGGGCTAATTTGGACTGGCTTTTGCCTGCAGAGTGGAGTGTCTCTCTGTTCCTCAAACCTCATGCACCTCCAAGGACATCACTGCCCGTGTGATTCCAAGGTGCCTTCTCATTCTCTTCTGGAGAGGGCTTAACAAGGAGCAAGAGGCTTTAAATCATCTCTTCACATCATGTGTGAGGCTGTAGGCTCACATTAGCAGCTATCCAGATCAGGCTAAGGCAGTCTTCTGGGTAGGAATTGAAAGAATGAGCCCAGACCTTGTGAATAATGAAGGAAAGAAATCCAGATACGTAAGAATGTTCACTGTGCTGGATTCCACTGATGTATTTAAGGGTTTGGCTAGAGAAACTTGTGCCCCTGATTCCAGGGCCCACTGCAGAAAATACTCCCTATTGGAAGGGTACAAGTTTTCAAAGACTCTTTGAGGAAATGTGTTACTCTAACACTGTAGACATTAATTCTTCTATCTACATTCCAAATCTAGAAAATTTAGATAAAATGTTAATCTTCCTCTTTTTGAAAATATAAAAAAGATAAGGATCCTAGACAGAAGTAATTTTTCTCCCACCAAAGTGCCTACAACCCTCAGAATAGGTTATTGACCTCCTACTGGGAATATGTAAATCTTTCCAAAGGTCTTTGATCTCTTAAAAGAATATCCACCATTAAGTTTGTTTTGTTCTTATGACTGTAAGAAGTCTCCCTCCCTGTGCATCATGTTAAATCAGTCCTTGGCTCCAATTTTGTCTCATTCACTAGCTTATCAGAGATAAACTTCAAAATGCGTCATGTAAAGAATCAAGAAAATCTTTAAGAAAAAGTCTATATACCAATGAGCAGAATTCCAATAGGGACCTCTTCTTGGCAGAGATGGACTCTCCCTCATTTCAAGGAACACATAAATTATCCTCTTTCTTCTATGACCTTGCTAATTTCAACAGAAAACATTCAGCAGCAGCTAGAGGCAAAGGGCTTCTCTAGCTCCTTCCCCCAGGAGTCTTGCCCTCTCTTTCTCTTTGGCTCTCAGACTACTTTTGTATCGAGATTCATTCTTTGGCTCCTCGCCCACTATAAGGACACAAATACATACTTTCTGTGGGGAACCCCTAGTTGAAAAAGAAGAGCGAAAAGCAAGATCATATTTTATTTATTTTTGTAAGTTAGTTTCTCACAGCTGCCAGCTTAGAACCCAGTATGCAGTAGGCACTCTTCAACTACGTGTGGAATGTATAAAAAACATAAATCATTGGTCTCTGCTCCAAAAGTGTTCCTTTCCCTCTCTGGTAAGGAAAAAGGTAGTCACAACTGTTCTTTCAAAGCCCAAGTGGCAATTCTTCTCAGTCACGCCTACTAAAGGAGTGACCACACCTTTCCAGGGGGTTGGCAACTGAGCTAACAATCTCCCAGATGCACTAAGTACAAAAATCTAAACATACGGTGTAAACAGCCACTTAGGGAGGAGGAGCAATTGATTTCAACGTTGAAAGCACCCCTCGGAGTTGAAACAGAAAACACCAGAACATAGGACTGGCTAGCAGGGCTCAAGTCAACAAAAAATGTCCCTGTCGGGTTCCTGAGGGAGGGGAGCTCCAGGCCTCAAGCTACAGTGCATTTTATTGTGTATGTCTTGCTGAACTTTAGTCAGGTTGGAGACTTGGGGCTTGACGGGGCAAAATGATTGATTCCTCTTCTCCACCACTTATGCATAATAACTAGGAAACATCTACTTATTCCTTCTTCAATCATCATAAACTTTGTTTGCTGTTTTCGGAGACAACCAATGATGAATAGTTCAACTGAACCCTATTTTTTTAAAGAAATCGTTTATCCATTATGGGTAACTATGACAGGTGTGTATTTCTCCCTGGCCACCCCTCCGTCCCCTGCCTCAATTTTTGGTAGGTGTAATGTACCATTCCCTGAACAATTACGGAACCATCAGTCACATGAGAATATCACCATACTTGGTAACATGATAATTATATCTGTGTCTAGCAAGCTGATGGGACTTCATTAACTAGAGCAAGGGAATAAGAACCATCTAAGACTTCAGTTCATGCTGTGCCCAGATGAATGACGCCACTGGGGAGTGGCCTCTTTGACCACCCATGGTCATGTATGATTGCTATTGGGTGGGACTTGGAGCCAATTGTTTTCCTCTCAGGAACACAACTGCCCTGCGGTTTATGGGCTGTGTGAGGGCACAGCCTACAGAAACCCCAAGGCTCAAATCGTATTGCCTTTCCGGAACTTTCCATTTTTTTCTGGGCTTTCAAATATATGCTGCTGGAGTCCCACACAACTAGACACACACACTTTTACTTAGAGACTATATGTAGGAGACACAGTGTGTATCCCATGCTTCAATGTTTTTGAGCCCAGTTTGCTCACACAGAGACACCGTAATAAAGATTGCTCCCAGTCGGTCAGACTCAAACATCGGCCACCACGGCCCGCCAATGGTATGGGCAAGGAACTGTTCAGCCTGAACCCACCACAGTGAGTTTAGAAGTGGCATTTAAAAATATATTTGGCACATAGGAGCCATAGGGGATGGGGAAGAGACAGTTCATTTGGGAGGGAAAATGGCCGCTATTTGGTTCTGGGAGCAAGCCATGTCACTTTGTGGTACACTTTACGACAAGTCATGCTACGTCACAACATGCCTCCACCACAAGATAAAAGGACTCAAAGGCCAAAAGCCAACAGCAGAGGTGCAACCACTGTGGACCTTTGAAGATGCAAAGTGTTGCAGTAACTTCTCGCAGTTGGATCATAGCATAATACCAAACTGACAGGAAGCCACCTCTATTGTCACACATCTACTCCAAACGTCACAGAAGAAATCGGACTTTGGAAAGAGTTCCGGACAAATATCCCCACCACACATACGCACAAACACACCACAACAATTACAAACACGAACACATGACAGTGATTCCAACCACGGAGAGAAACAACTCTTGAGAAGATGAACACAAAGGCATCTCGATCGTATGTTTTCAACAATACTGTTTTAGAGAACACATTATTGAAAAACTACACTGGAAATATCAACCGAAAAAGTTAAAAGCAAATGCTATCAATGAGGATTTGGTCATGTTTCGTGCAACAGAAAACAGCAGCAAAACAGGGTGACGTCATATGGTGAAAGCGGAGATACGTCACATTAAGAAATGTGCCCAAACACACTAGGGAAAAAAATAAAGCCATGAGTTTATCTCAATAAACAGTACTCATTCACTAAATCAAATGTGACAATCTGGCAATCCGGTAGCAGTGTTCTAAGTCTGTACCGAGGACTGCCCAAGGAAGAAAATATGCAAAATGTTATCATCAAAATAAGCGCAAGGACAAAACAAAAGTTGAGTGTTAGAGGAGCTTGGTCTCTGTTTTGTGGATAAAAGGACACGATCCCTGCTCTACAAACAGGAAACTGGACATGGGGAGGAGGAAGTCACTGGGAATGTGGATGTGGTATGCAGACAGATGGCACCACAGAGCCTGGTGGACACTGAGACACATCAGGACAGGACAGAAACAGACACCAGCGGCTGGAGAGGAGCATTCTCCTTCTCAACGTTGATGGCACTGGTTCCCATCACTGGTGCCATGACTGAACACAGGGATTATACCTGTCGTGTTTTTAGGTCTCCTGCAAAGAAGTTAGTGCATTATCCAAAAGAATCAACAAACTGAATGAGAAAAGCAATATGCTACTTTCAATTTTTATGTGCTCTCATTGGAGAGGGGTTAAACATATATGTATGTATATATATACATATATATATGTCTATTAGACAAGGGAATGAGATTATATGTATGTGTACACATATATATAATCTCTATCTTCCTGAATTCTCGGCAAATGGTTAGTCCTGTGGTTAGCAGTGAAGATAGCAGGTGGGGGTTGGGAGAAAGGTTAACGAAGAGCGCATACCGCTTTCGGCTTCTGCAAAACGACAAGAAAAGAATTTAAAATCAAACAATTTGATAATAAATTGACTGACACCAGAAGGAAAGAAGGAACAAAACCTTTGTTTCAAATTACTTGAAGGATGCATGTGAAAACAAGGTTTTTCAGCAGAGCATGGAAAAACAGCGTCATGGGGTAAAACAACAGAGGAGATAGTTTGACACAGGCCGGGGGCAGAGGGGTGGAGAGGAGAGGCTGGGTTCTCTGAATTCTAACACCCAGCCACTTAGAAAGTGGGAGAGGGAAGGAAATGGGAAATTCTTCACTGAAGGAAAAAAAAAAAACAAAACTCTTATCTCAGGAAGGGTCAAAAGCTCAATTCTTTTTAGCATGGCTATTGTGTTCGAGAAGTTCGGTGTTTTCTCAGAGGCATAATCCACATTCCCTCCAACACACCTTTTTCCACAAGAACCAATGTGCTTCCACACTGAGACCAAGCGACATGAGGGGGGTTAAAGTTGGCAACGGCACACAGAAAGCCAAAAACAAAGCCAAAAAGTTCTTTTTGCTCTTTTCTGAAAGGGAAAAAAAAAAAAAAGCTAAAAATCTATATCTATAAATACGGCTTTGTTGAAAACATCTCAGATTGGTGAGTTAATTGGAGGGTCCATCAAAGAAAAGACTTTGTCTTCAGGGAAAGCTCCTAGTTAATTTTCTTAGAATAGTGACAGCAGATTCACACTGAACCATTAACAGGCTTTTTCCTCTCCCTCCTTGTGACCAAAAGGTGGCAGCTGGGAGACGACTGGTCAAGGTTTAGGGGACACACTCCTGCCATGAAATCATACCAGGAGGGTCAAGAGGCGCCTTCAGCATTAAGCGCCACCCACACCATGACACTTTTCTGAGAGATGCACAGAAGTGATAAAGAGAGAAGACTGAGTTACACAGATTTTCGGATGTGGCAACATGAAAAATATCATTTGCAAAAACCTAGGGCACCTGTTTCCCCCTCTGCAGGCACTGGTGACTACCAGCCACCGTGTGGGAAAGCAGTAATCCCAGAAACCCCCCCTTTACCTGTTGAACAGCCAAGAGCCAGGACTCTGGCTCCCAATTTCTTGCACGTAATATTCTTCACTTTGCCAACACAAAGAAGAAAACCGTATCTATACATCATTATTAACTGCTATGGCCGTGTTTAACACATGGCCACCAAATCTACCATTTCTACTTGCTCTTGGTTGATTTGGAGTTTCCAAAGAGCTTAGCCTTTGATCAGATTGACTTGGTGCGCAATTGATCTGGTGGTTAAGGTAACGGGGAACATTGGATTGACTTGCTTACAATCCAGTGTTTTGGGGTTTTGCTTGGTTTTTGTTTTGTTTTGTTTGTCAGAAACACAGACTGTATGTCTGGAAGTCTGGCTTTATTGAGTTATTCATCCCAATAATGAAAACTCCTTAGATGGCAAGAGCAGGCACCTTTGAGTCTTGCCTTGCACTCAACATATTAAGGCACACGTGGGAGGGGATCTGTACTCTACACTTGGGCAGCCACAGGAAGACTTATAGGTAGGAACAAACCCGGAGGTCATCTTTGAGCCCAAAAGCCCCACGCACTTCTCAATGAGCTCTTTCTTCCAAACCCATTGATAAAAATGGGGAAGCAAAAACCTCATCTCTGTTTTATCCGTAATGCATACAGTCCTGCATCAACACAGTCCCCTGTTAATGGGGTGTTTCCTTCTTCCACTGTGAGCTCATATATTGACTGGGCTGTTATCTATTTCAACCAGACCCAGTCCCTCATCAGTCCGATATGCACATAATTAAGTGCAAAATAAATAAATAAAGAGGGCTCCTGCCTGTGATCCCTGCTCTCCTGGCTAATTTACATGAAGCCGATATTCTGCCACCTGGATTTCGGCTGCACCGGGAAAAGCCCATATGGTACACAATAGGTTGCTTGTAATTTGGCTATCAAGAGAGCTGGTGCATCCCATCACGGTCCTGCCCCATCCCTGATGTGAAGGGGGCCAGAATCCACCTGCTTTGAGATCATGGCAGTAAATGGGGTTTGAGGACAGGCCCTGTCCCTGGTTTTGTGTAGAGAGGGTGAAAAGTATCACTTGGGCTGATCAGGTGGCGATCAGGATGCCTCATCCCTTTCCTCTGGAGAAACATTTTCCGAATGCCCAGTGGGCTTGGGATGCCAGGTGGGTCTGCCATAAAGGTGACGGTATCTGGTTGGGCATGCCCTGAGATGTGTCAGAGATGGGTCACATCAGGGGCCCAAGCACATCAATAACGCGTAGGAAAGAAGCGGGTGGATGGAGCACTCCAAGAGCACTCTCACCGGCTCGTGCATGTCAGCCGGCCGCTGGGCTGCAGCAAACTTACCGGCTCTCCCGGTTGGCAGACTTGTACTCAATGGCTATCATCAGGAGCTTGAGCTTCACAAAACACAGCCTGCAATGAGATGGAGAAACCTCCCCGTCAGTGCTTCTGAACGGCCAGAGCCACATAACAAACACAATTACGACCTCTCCATCACCTGATGCACTCATTATGCCGGGGACCCTCATTCCACAGTCACTGTGCCAAAGAGAGGGGGTGGGAGCGACACCTCCCCATCCTCCCCATTAAACCTGATTTCTCGCAAGTGATAAGGCGCTGAATGTTCAAAGTGCAAATTGCACTCGGGTCTGGATGTCTAGACACAGACCCCAAGCAGGGATTTGTGCCTGGGGATTTATGCTGGGCCAGATTCATTAGTTGCTCGGTCGGGTAGTAAAATGTTAACTGCAGGGGGAGGGAGGTATTTGGAGCAGCTGGACCTATTATTTGGATTCCATTTCAGTCTTTTGTACAAATGGCTCATATTGTTGTTCTGAGCAGACCCCTGTGTGCTCAGAATGATGGTAATAATCCTTAGCCTCCATGTAACTGCCCAGCACATGACTGTGGGCACCGGGACTCCTGGCCGCATCCACATTGCCTCACCTCCTCTGCCTGGGGCTCTCATCCGGGGCTCTCGTCCTCAGCCCAGCCTGCTCTGAAGCTGGCTCATTCCTGCCTCCATGCCTTCATGGAGATGATCCCTACACCCCAAGTGCTTTCTCTTCTCCTGACCCATCCTTCAAACCCCCATCAAATCTAGCCTTCTGTGCAACTCATCTGCAGACCCCCTCGCCCCTGGCTTTCCATTCCCAGAACCCACCCAGTGCCCTTGTCTGCCACCACCTCCTTCAGCCCTTCCTCAGCTGCATACTGGCTATGGCTGCTCCCCATGGCAGTCTGTGCCTGAAAGCCATCTCCTCTACCAGTGTGGCTTCCTTAAGAGGTTGGGGTTTATGCGGAATTCCCCATTGTGCTGCACAGGGAACCACAGACACAAAGAAGCTCAATAATCACATGATTTCCCCTCACTGGGGTTCTAAGAAAATAACAAAAGGGCCAGTGAAGTATTCATGCACAAAGATGTTCAAGGTAATAATATTTATGCAAAGTAAAAAAAAAAAAAAAAGGGCAACCTAAATGTCCAATAATAAAGCAATGGTCAAGTAAAGTATGGTACAATATAGTTTTAGCATTCAAAATGACTTTTTGGAAAATATTCAAAGTCTAAGATTAATAAATAATATTATACAGGTACAAACATGTAAATAATGTGATATGATTTGGTGAAAACATATATTTATATACTCACAGAAATAAAAGCACAAAGAGAAAAGGATTACATTATATATGACAAGTTTCTATAATGAGCATATGTCTTAAGGACTTTTTGGATAATGAAACATTGTCTGACTGACAGGTTGAGAAGTGAGTTGATTACTGAGTTGCAGCACTATAAGGGGGAGGTTGCATGGGGTCACAAGGTGGGACCATTCCTGGTGCTCTCATTTAATCCCCACAATATCCCTGAGAGGGAGAGATGGCCCCAGTTTTTGTGACTTCGACAGCTATCTCTATATTACAGGTGATGAACCTGAGGCTCAGAAAGCCCATGTAACTTGTCCAAGGTCCCCAACTAGTATCCGGAAGGATATACACCTTTAACTCTGGGGAAACCTATTTTGTACTGGGAAAGATAGATAATAAGCAAATATACAACTGAATAAATGATAAATTTCCAGATGAGGAAAAGCACGATGCAGAAAACAGAACAACCTAAGAGGACAAACAGTAACTGGGAAGACCCATAAATATGGAAAACAAATGATGGTTGCTGTAGGAGAGGGTTGGAAGGGAATGGGCAACATGGGTGAAGGGGAGTGGGAGGTCCAGGCTTCTAGGTATGGTCTAAATGAGGCAGGGGATGAAAGGCACAGCATGGGGAGTACACTCAATGGTATTGTCACAGTGATGTGTAATGATAGATGGAGGCCCCACCTGTGGTGAACATAACATAACAGAATTGTCCAATCATTAGGTTATATACATGAAGCTAAGGTAGCATTGTGTGTCAACTCTACTCCAATTAAACAACAATAACAACAACAAACCCAACCAAAAAAACAGTGACTGGGAAGGGGTATTCTCTGCAGGCGTCCAGAGGGACCATCCTGAGAACGTAAACTAGAGCACAGAGTGCAGGAGTTGAGGAGAAGAGGCAGGCAATTAAAGGATCTGGCAAAAAAATCTTTCCAGGGAATGAAAGCAGCAAGTGCAAGGGTCCTGAGGCAGGAAGGAACTCAAGGTGTCTGAAGATCAGCAACAAGGACAACTAGACTGCAGCTGAGTGAGGAAAGTCACACAAGGGACAGTGATTAGGGCAGGGAGCTAGGCAGGAGCAAGTTTGTGAAGACCGCTGGCCACAGCAACAAGCCTGCCAGTCTGTGGTTTACTCTAAGTGAAACGGGAGGCCTTTAGCTGGTTGCAAATAGAAAAGCAATGAGGTTGGTGAATGCCTCGTACTCGCCAGTGGAAATAAGACCAATTGCTCACCTCTACATATGAGGTCACAGTCTCCCGTATTACTTTCAACAGACAGTCAGATTTCAAAGACCACTTCATCTAGGCGTATTTGGGCTCTCCTGGTGATTTGCAGGTTTGCTGATTCCTGCCAGCGGACTCTAATGACCTGGGCTTTGTGCTGATTATGCAGTTTGCTGAAACACCAACTCAAGTATCCAACTACAGCTGGAAAAATGCTCTTCTTAATTTATGTTCCATAAAGCACTGCTAACACGCACCCTTTATGGGGCTGTTACTCCTGGAGCTTAAATTGTTTAAAATATCAGATGGCTTATGCAATATTTGTTGAACCAAATTACCAGATTAGGTAACCACTTTCTAATGTAAATAGCAACTAAATGCCAAAATCTCAAGGAGAAGGCCCATCTTAATTTAGCAGAGATCATGAAGAGGCCAATACGCTGACATCCCATGAGTGACTGGTCACCCTGATTTGGGACTCTGTGGTTCAAGGGATCATGGATCTTAATTGCTTTTAACGACCTGATCTTGTTGGTAGAAGCAAAAATGTAGTCCACAGTAATGGTGCATTATGTCTTTCTAGGCACTATGACGCCATTTACCAACTCGATATAAAAAGAGGAGCTTTCTAATGCAGGAAAGTCAATAAAATTTACACAGTCTTGTGCACATTCCTTAGCCTAGCACAGTGGACCAGGAGATCTGAGTCCTCTTTCATAACTTCCAAATCCATATCTGAGATGATTCCATATGGCTTTATAGATGCCTCATTTTAAGAAGCTCTTTGACCCAAACCCAACCTTTACTCACTGGCCAAAGGGATGGAGAGGACAGAGTGATGTCCAGGAAGTGATTATATGCAAACAGCGCCACCCCATGGATTATGAAATTCAGGCCCTTCAAGACTAGTGGGGGCTGCCCTTCTCATAGAGGTGACAGACTGAGGTCCAACAAGGGGCAACTTGCTCCAGGTCAAATGGCCTTTGGGAAGAAAGGCCAAAAGTGGAAATCAAATCTCAATGCACTGTGCTACACAAATGCTTCTTATAAGAACAAAGCAAATGAGATGGTGGCCAGAAGACCAGCATGGTGTCTCGGTCAGCATAGCCTTTTTGAAAACCCAGAATTAGATACTAATAGGTGATCTCATAAAAAGGCTAAAAAACTAGCCTTTCAGCTTTCCTTGATAAATCATAAATGGCCACACTGCAGACACTTCTGTCTGGCTAAAAGGGACTGGAGCTTTGAAGCACTGGCTCCCTCTGGAAGGGACACAAGCTCTTCAATATGCTACAGTCCCCAGCACTCCCCAATGCTCCTGCCCCTTCAGTCTTCACTCTTTGTGGCTCACTCCTGCCCCCTAGAGGCACCTACGTTTTTAATCCCTGCTGTAACAAGTAACCTTCTGCACGTCCACAAAACACAAATCTTGCACTATGTCTCTGCTCTGCTAGAGACAGTTTTCAGCTAGATCCTGCCACAGAGAGTTAGCCAATGTCCAGGGATCGGGGCTTAAAGCTGAAGCACAGGTGCCAGGAGGTAAGAACAGAGCAAGGCCAGTGAACAGGGCACCGGTGTGTGGTGCGATAATCAGTTGTTTACTCACCTCTCTGCCCTCGAGTGGAGCTCTTCTCGGTAAGATGCATGCTTTCTCTCCCCAGCATTTTGCAAAGTGCAAAAAGTAAGCATTCAATGCATGCTGATTAAATAAATGTATGAAAGAATGGAGGGCAGAATCTCCTGACTTGCTGGGAGCCCACATTAAGAGATAAAGTAACCAACTAGGAAACTCTAAGCAGAGAAGGTTGGGGAGTTGAGCATCGAATTATGCAACAAGATGCCTCTTAATTTGTCCGTGAGAAGCAGAGAGATTGGAAAAGAAGGATGTCAAAAGAAGTAATAGTGGTGATATGTTCTGGGAATCTAACATTTGCCTCGAATCAATATGCCAAAATGTAAATATAATTCTAAGTTCCAGACAGCACTTTGTCCTTGAGACTCTCCATAGCTCCTGCTGCAAGGGGTTTACTCCCCCAGAACATGTCTTCAGATTACTCAGATTTGATGTCCCGAGATGAAATACTGACCTGTATCATCAACACCATTGTTTTTGGTAAAGCAAAATGGGCTTTGCTCATCCAGTTCTTAGAGTCCTTCTTAGGGCTTTACTCAGTGTCTGCACATGCAACGGACTGGAGCAGGGTAAGAAAGGGGCTCAGGGCAAGGGAGGGCATAAGAAAGAACCAAGAAAGCCTTTGCAGTGTGCTAAACAGTTAGCTGCAATTTAATTCTTGGTTTCCAAAATAAAATGTCCCAATATGTCCAAAGCAGGAAGTCGTTGCTGGTTGTGAAAATAATTACAGGGGAAAAGAAATGACTTTTCCCAGAAAAAAAATGTCACTTGTCACAAAAAGGTCTTAAACCAGCAATCTGCAATAAAACTGTTGTAATAACAAGTTAGATTGCTTTCTTGATAATTATTAAGTAGAGGCCTACCAAATTTGACAATGACATTATATAATGCCTAT